CTTAATCCATTTGGGCTGCTATAATAAGGGACCATAGACTGGATGGCTTATAAACAATAGAAATTCATGTCTCACAGTTCTGGGGCCTGTGAAGTCCAAGATCAAGGCACTGATAGATTTTGTGTCTGGTGAGGGTCTGCCTCCTCTTAGAGACAGGTCTCACTGTAGCCTCATGTGATGGAAATGGGGAGGAAGCTCTCTGGCATTTCCTGTATAAGTACACTAATCCCCTTCATGTGGGGTTTGTCCTCATGAATTAATACATCACAAAGGCTGTATCTTCTAATACCATTACCTTGGCAGACAGGATTTAAAATTAATTTTGGAGGGACAGTCAGACCATAGCAGAAGTCAAATAAAATGAACTCACTATAGTTAAGAATGAGGGCAGGAAGAGATACTCTGAAGTAATCCCACTTTGTATTAGCATCATGTAGAGAATTATCCAATGGTTCCTGCTGGGGTTATATGTAATTTACCTAGTGGCACATCTACTCTTAGCATAGATTCTTGCTCAATCTTAAAAATATTTGTTGAACTGAATTAATTTTAAAACACAGAGAAAACACTTTACTCATTCATTTTGCTAAGTATTTATTGATCAACCTTTTTGCAATAGACACAGTTCTAATTACTCAGAATATTGTGTTGAGTACTTGCATTTAAACTCTCAGATCTCACTTTTTTAAAAACCTATATACATCAACAGGACATAGCCATGATGCGAAAACCAGTTGATATATTAAAAGTAGACATTCTCCAGACTAATAGAAAAAAGTCAACAAAATGTATGAGCGAACAAGGAGTTCTAGCTCTCAATTTGTTGTTCCCTAGATGGGATATATTGGATATGCCATTTAGCCTACCAAAGCCTTAACATTTAACTAGATGCTCTTTAGATTTATGCTTATTTAAGATTTAACTAGATACTCTTTAAGGCTTATAACAAACAGAAATTTAACTAGATGATTTTTAAGGCTTATTCCAAGTAAAAAGAAACTTAAAGTTTTTATTTTAATTTCTCATATTGGTGGTTTTCAAAGTGGTCACCTACCAAGAGCCTAGAAATTTGTTAAAATTCACATTTTAGACCTCACCCTAGACATACTGAACCACATACCCTGGGGCAGGGAGTATAGTAATCTTTTTTTTTCTTAACAAGTTCTGATGGGTACTAGTGTTTCCCAACCACTGCCTGGACATATAAAATATGCTTAATAGTAAATATATGTATGAAAACTTTTCTAATTTTTCACAGCTATATCACTGATATCGTTAGGCTTAGTGTCCACACCCAAATTTCATCTTGATTTGTAATCCTGATAAGCCCCATATGTCAAAGAAGAGACCAGGTGGAGCTAATTGAATCATAGGGGCAGTTTCCCACATGTTGTTTTCATGACAAGGAGTGAGTTCTCATGAGATCTAATGGTTTTATAAGGGGCTTTTCCCCCTTCACTTAGCATTTCTCCTTCCTGCCACCTTGTGAAGAAGATGTCTTGCTTCCCCTTCACCTTCCGCCATGATTGTAAGATTCCTGAGGCCTCCCCAGCCATGCTGAACTGTGGGAAAAATATTTTGGAAATATTCTTATGCTTTTTTGTGGATTTAAAATTACGTCAGCGTCACAGAGTTTTTTTTCTGTGGGTTAATTACTAGGGATCAACTGCAGTGGATTAAACATACACCCATACACATATGCACACACATTTCAGAATATGGATAAAGCTTGTAACTGAAGAAACAAAAACTAGATGATCTCCTGTAATTATCCAATTCTTCCTGTTACAAAACTCAAAAAATGATGAATAGAGAGACAGGAAAAATAAAATGCTGGGTTTACAATCACTTCTATAAATGAGTAAGACCCTCCTTTATTTAGTAATGTGTTATCCTCAGCACTTTGGGAGGCTGAGGTGGGTGGATCACAAGGTCAAGAGATCGTGACCATCCTGGTCAACATAGTGAAACCCCATCTCTACTAAAAATACAAAAAAATTAGCTGGGTATGGTGGCGCGTGCCTGTAGTCCCAGCTACTCGGGAGGCCAAGGCAGGAGAATTGCTTGAACCCAGGAGGTGGAGGTTGCAGTGAGGTGAGATTGTGCCATTGCACTCCAGCCTGGGTAACAAAAGCGAAACTCTGTCTCAAAAAAAAAAAAAAAAAAAAAGAAAGAAAGAAATGTGTTATCCTAAGTTTACAAGTAATTTGGTCTGGATATGTACATTTCTGCTAGCACTAGTACATTAACAAATTCAGAGAAAGATTTAGCAGAAATTTTATTAGGTGTCACTTTTGCTGTTTGATATCTAGAGCTGGTGTCTAAAACATTATACATACTGATCTCTGAGAGAGTCTAGGATTACCCAAGGGAATGAAAGATTTTTCCATAGGGTAATACAAAGACAGGAAGTAAATACACTTGATTTATATTCATGCGCCCTCTTTATTCTGTCTTCTTCCCCTTAATATTTTTAACTCTCTTTATAAAAGTTTCTTCTTCAGACATATTTTATGGAGATTTAAGTGATCCTTAATGACTAGAAGATAGGGACAGATACCACTGCTGCAATCCTACCAGCTTTCTCAATTTGGGCCTGGAAGCCAATTTTAACTTTTCCCTATTCAGTTAACTCCATATGGTATAAAGATAGAGATAGATAGATGATAGTCATTATTTCAGAGTGAATTGTGATATGGGTGTGGATGGTTGGTATGTTTCTAAGCAATAATTATGATTTGATTTTAAGCCAGAATTATTTGTTTCAGTAGCAGCAGTACATATCATAGGGGTATGGTTTTCTTTCTTTCTTTTTATGTTTGCTTTTGTTTTTGAGACAGAGTCTTGCTCTGTTGCCCAGGCTGGAGCGCAGTGGCACGATCTCGGGCTCACTGCCCCCTCCACCTCCCAGGTTCAAGCAATTCTCTGCCTCGGCCTCCTGAGTAGAGTAGCTGGAATTACAGGTATGTACCACCATGCTCAGCTAATTTTTGTATTTTTAGTAGAGATGGGGTTTCACCATCTTGGCCAGGCTGGTCTTGAACTCCTGACTTCATGATCCACCCGCCTAGGCCTTCCAAAGTGCTGGGATTACAGGTGTGAGCCACTGCACCTGCCCTGTTTTCTTTTTTTTTTCTTTTTTTTTAATCTGTAGTGAATGAGATTCAGAGTAGCATGGACCTCTTCTTATATTACGGGAGGATTATTTTGTCACTGTGATGGAAAAGACAATTTCCTTTCCTCCTCACCAATATCCTTGTCTAAAGTCACTTAACTTTGAGTTTGGGGCTTTCTTATCTACTTGCCTACTGTTAAGAGTGAAAAATAATTCAAATCTAGAAGAATAGTACTTTCTTTTTTTTCCCCTGCCATTATCTCTTGCCCTTTTTAACAATTGAGGGAGTTTGTAAACCTGATATAACTATTTTTAATGTTATATTTTTATAAAATGAAGGATTTGAAGAGATAAAGGATGTTAAAAAGAATCTAATTCTCCCTACCTCAGAGAACTCAAGAATATTTCTTACACTTCTAATCATTTCTTCTCTTTTTCTTCTCTCCTGTTTGCATGCTGCAGGCTTGTTCTTATAATCTCTTATTTTGTCTTTCCAGCAGCATCTGCTTTTCACCTTTCATTTCTTCCCCTGATCTTTCAATGTAGTTTTCAACAGTTTTTTTTGACACCACTTTCACATTTCAATTTTTTCTTTTGTTCTTTTTTTTCTTCTATATTCCACATATGACTTCCAAAGATTTTGTAAAGATGAATTGTCCAGAACGAAGAGAGTGATTAAGAGCCTACAGAACTGGGAAGAGGACTGTTGCCAAGATTTTCTTCATGTGTAGAAGCACAGTGGAGTTACCCAGAGTGTGAGAAGCAAGAAACAGAAAGCCTTGCTAAGGGATGACCAAAAGGGGAAGCCTATTAAAAGAATTATCTGGAGGAGTATGCAGTGAAGAAAATAAAGTAGAGCCAGCCTGCCGGGTCAGTAGCTAATAGCCCACGGGTTTGCAACTAAGGAAATTAAAACTCTAGCTAATGAGAATTGTAGACACCTACTGAGAATGAACCGAAGGCTTCCTATTAACCTGCCTCCTTGGGTCTTTCTGACAGAACAGTCAGAAAGTTGTTTCCTATTTGTTTAGTAGCAAAAGATTTGAAACGGAGGTTTAAAAGGGATGAAAGAGAAGTTGTAGGCAAACTCTTAGCTCCTTCACGAGGTCCAAATAGGATGTCTCCCCTACTCCACTCAAAATATAAATCAGCATAGGTCACAAAACGAGGAAGTACAGTTAAAAAGAAAAGAAAAAGAAAAAAAGAGTTGGGCCAGATAAGACATACAGCCAAGATAACTGAGACAGTCACCGGGGATTTGGGGTGTGGGGACTTCAAATTAATAATCCCGATATTAGCTTTGTGGAATTAGCAGGATTAGGGTACCTCTTTCAAGAACACTGGTTAAATTCATGATTTCGATAGATGAGCATTAGTTATTATATGCACCCCCCTCCCCCCTTTTTTTTTTACCTGCAGAAGTTAAGAAGTCTGTTTAACTCGCAGGTCACCAGGAGAGTGATTAGAGGTCTCTGGACATCATTTGGGTTTGGATAAACATGTAGGGCCACTTTACAGGCTCTATCTCCAACTCCTGATCCCACTGTGGTTCTTTCTGAATTGATCCAGGTCCCTGCTAGCGAGTGAGGCAGAAGGAATCCAGGCTAGTTGTGAGATGACACACAGCAGGCGGAGATGATGGGGTTATTTCAGAACCAAGAGGAGGGGGCGAGCAGGACACGGACTTGTCTCCCCGCACTTTGATGCCAAGGTGGTCTGGGAGAGACCCCAAAGGGCAACGTCGAGGGGACTGCAGGCGGCAGCCCTGGCGCGGCGGCTCGGCGCCCCTCTCCGCGGGCGGGGTGCGAGCGCGTGTGCGCGAGAGCGGCGGGCGGCGGCGGCGGGAGGAGGCGCAGGCGCGCTGCTCGCCCGTCTGCAGCCCCGCGCCGAGCGCCGCGTCTCGGGAGTTGATGGCAGCACCACTGTGCGGCCGTCCGGCCGAGCGCGGAGCGCAGCCACACGCCGCTGCCCAGGGAGCGCCCAAGATGTGGGGGGACCGGGGCGGCAGCGGCCGTAGCAGCGCCAGGGACGGGGGCACACAGCAGCCTCCGCTCGCCCGCCTGTCCTGACCTGCCTCCCTTGCCCCCAAAGAATGTCAGCCAAGTCTAAGGGGAACCCCTCCTCGTCCTCTCCAGCCGAGGGGCCGCCGGCAGCCTCCAAAACCAAGGTGAAGGAACAGATCAAGATCATCGTGGAGGATCTGGAATTAGTCCTGGGCGACCTGAAGGACGTGGCCAAGGAACTTAAGGAGGTGAGAGGTGCTGGGCTGGGGAGGGAGTTCGGCGCCCTTCGACCCCTAGGGGTCTCCGTCCCATTTTCGGTAGAGACCGCCAGATTTCCAAACTCCTGGGAAACTACAGAAAGACGCCTGCAGACTGACTTTCTTTGCTCCGGGGACTCCTGAGAGGAGTTGCTGTTGCACTTTCTATTTTTTTTTTTTTTAATCAGGAAGAAATCAACTAGTGTTTTAATCGATGGACCTGGGCTGGTGGGAGGGTGAACGCACGCGTGTCTCTGAATCTGTGTGTGTGACGACGGCGGAGAGGGTTAGCTGGGGGTGTGTCGGCAGAGGAAGTCGTGAGCAGCCCGGCCGGAGCGTGCAAGATGCTCCTCTTCTGCCCTCTTGCTCCTCCAGAGTCCTTTGGCAAGTCCGCTGCCAGTCTGGCAGCCTCCTCAAGTCGGGGCTGAAGAGGGGCTGGGTTCTGGGCCGTGGGCCAGACCAGGGAGGGCAGCCTGAGGGAAGCTAGGCTCAGACTCCCCTCCCTGTCTCCCGAGCCTCGCTGCAGGGAAGGCGACGGGAGCTGCTGGCAGCCTTGGGGCTAAGGAGGGGATCTGGGACTTTCTCACTTTCTGAAGCATCCGCTGCTCTGCTCCGAACATCGTTCCCAGTAACTCTGGGCCTTCTCGCCACCCTACCTCTCCTTCCTTCCTTCCACCCTCTAGCCACTTGGCATTGAACCCGAGGAGCAGGACCCCCAGGGGAGTGTGTGTGTGGCCGGGGTCTTGCCACTGGCGTCCTGGCTCTCAGAAATTGGGACTGCTTCGGTTCTTCCCCCCCTTCTCCTATCCCACTTGTCTGTTCAGCTCTACCTCCGCCTCCGCGGCCCCCAGCCCGGAGTGATCCGGATGGAAAGAAGCAGAGATGGTATCAGGGCTGAGGCTGCGTAACTCAGGCGGCGGCTCCGGGAGGGGGCGGGTGCGGGGGCCAGGCTGGGTGGGGTGGGGTCTCCCGAGCCCGGCTGGCTGCCGGCGGCGTCGCGGAGCTGGTGGCAGAGTCCCAGCGCGCTGCTCACTACTGAAAGGGCTCCTGGTGCGGTTCTCGGTGAGGGAGTCCCAGCTCCACTTGCGTGAGAGCTAAGGCTGGAACTTCGAAGGTGGTGGTGGCTGCAGCGGGAAAAGAAGGGGTGGGGCGTAGTCTAGGTCCAAAATTGTAATCCTGTTTCTGAAGCCGAGGGGGAGGAGACTGAGGGTTGTTTGGATGACCGGCCTTTAGAGATTAACCTCCTGTATTCAATTTCCAATCCAAATTTCAAGAGCCCCCCATCTTCCCCTCCCCCCCCATTACTTCCACGAACTGAACTCCGCATTTGTTACCTAATATAAGTCAGCAAAAATAGGCCATTCGTCGCCAGGGTTAAGTTTGCCAATGGCAAATGTCGTTCCTGTAGGTTATTCCACAGACAGAACATAATTACTACTGAGGTCCTGGGAGTGGCTGTTAATATAGATTCAGGAATAAAACTTGTTCGTGTTTTCAGGGTTTCTCTAGGATTACTGCTTCACAACTGGTTGACAGATGGTGGGGTTATGCATTGAAATTCAATTCTAAAAATGCTGTCCCTTTCTTTGTTATTCTTTTATATGACATCTTTGGCAGACTGTGTTTTCATCTGAAACATTATGGCGCTTTAAAAAATGAAATTGGGTATGTTTCTTTCGGCAGAATTGTGCTTAATAGTTACTGAGGTTTCTAAGGTGGGGAATGTGGAAAACCTACAGCAGCACAGAAACGTATTTACTGTTTTCATGAATCTGAGACTAAAAAGTAGTTAATCAGAATTCTGCATCTGTGAGCCATACTTCCTTATGTTATAATGTCCGTCCACTCACTTTTTTTTTTTTTTTTTGCACAGAATAAATGACAAGAAACTACATATGGTCCTGGTTGTGCTTTGCATCATCATTTTATGGACATTTAGATACCAAGTAGATCCGTAGTAAAACCTTCAACCTCTCGGTGGTTCTTGGTTAGCATCACAAAAAAGTAACTCAGGAAGTCTGTTGATGCCACTTTCTAAGTTTTCATTACTGAAGATTTTTTTAAGGTGAAAAAGGAGGTATCTTATAAGAGGAATAAAAAGCAGAGATAATGTACAACTCAGTAGATGAAAATATCTGACAGATCTAGAGATACAATTTTGACTTAACATTTTGGAAGCTTTGTTTGGCTTAAAGACTTGTTTGAGTAGAATTCTCACCATGAAACTGAAATTTATGACTGATAAATGATGTGTTGTGGCTGTTAATTAATTTTGTGTGGATATCGTTTCTAGATTTGCACAAGGAACCATAAATACTATAGCTGAATCTGAAAACGTTGGTTATTCACATAATATGCATGAAAGTATTTTGAGACCAAAGTATTTATAGGGCATGTTTAACCTATGACATCTTGCAGTTGTCCAGCATTTATTTTTATAGGATAATCCTGCATATGTGAGTGAACATGTCTTTGATGTAGTTTTTGAATAAAGAAATAACAAAACTTTTTTCATTACAAAGTTTGTTGGTTTCTGTACATGAATGTTGCTATTAATTCATCAGTTGTCATATTCAGTATTCTGTCAGTTTAAAATTAGTACATGTTAAATATACACTGCTATATTTAGAATTCTAATTCCTTTATTTGCAATGCTATACTTTTAGACCATAATATATTTTAAATATAAATTATCAGTGATCTTTTTTTAACTTGGAACAGGAATTAAAAATTAAAAAGTAGTTATGACTGTATCACTGTGTCAGTCATCATATCGTATTTGTTTTTCCTTTCTGCAATCTTCTTTAGTTCTGTTCTTTGTTTTTGCATAATTTCTGCACCAACAATGTTAATCTTTGGTTTGATGTTACTCTGAAATTGCTTTTCTTCATACAAGTTTTGTGGGCTTAAGTCATCTGAAAACTCAGGTAGTAGGATAAATTCAAACATAATAATAATTGCTTAAAACACTTTAATAAGTAGTGACAAAACTCTAGTCTGTTCAGCAAGAAGAATTGTTATTTTGGGTATCTGTTTTATGATTATTTAGTTATAATTACTTAATCAGTTTTAATTAGATTTATGCATTAGAAACTGAGGAACAGGCTTTCTAGAAAGTCAAAGAGCAGCTTTATTCTACTCCTAGAATTTAGTAAAATCTTAAATAATTTATTTGACTTTTCGGAAATAATATGGGTTCTTTGGTCTTTTATGCTATTAATACATTGGAAAACCCTTTAATATAATTCAATATACTTATTAAGCACCCACCATGGCCAAAGTACTGTACCATTTTTTAAATTGCTACCAAGGTGAATAAGTTGTAGTTTTTGGTCTCAGTGAGCTCCAAAGGTTAGTTAGGGATATATTTATCCTGCCTTTCAACATCAGTGGTATAAAAAGACATTGTGGCCTTTAGTGGCCATTCTCACTATAGACTTGGAGAAATAGAGAATTGAGAATAAGAACGAGTATATGTTGATTTATAAACTGATACATGCTGCATACTTAGTGGAATGGCAAGTCTTTGATGAAGAAAGAAGCTTAAAAAGATGAAAATATATGAATTTTAAGAAATTTACAGTTGATTTAGGTTGTCATGATTAACATAAATGGATCAATACTATATATAGGAGATTATATATTCAAATGTTGTAACTAAATACTGAAGATTTCCATGAAAGGTAAGTCTTTTGGAAAAATGGAGAGTTTAAAAGGAAGATCTTGAATTTTTCTTTTTCCTAATGTAAATAAGGTTTTAAGAGGTAGACAGGAAGTAAAAGAAAATAGTTTTGGACTACAAGATTAATCCATGTTGCACTTTTTTCTACACATTGAAAAGAAATGTAGAAACGAAGCAATTGCTTTTTAAAACTAGTTCTCAAATAATCTAATGCCTTTGAGTAGCAATATGTCTATTCTTTTATGAAGATCTCACTGGTAAACTGTTTTGCATTAAATGCTGGTATTAATATGCGATCACTTATCTTGGTGGTCAGAATGACATTGAAATCTCTAATAAACAGCCTTTTATTCGGAAACAAAATTAATTGCAGCTTTAGCTGGGTTCTCTTTTAGTTTAGACTTGTTATAACCTTGAGCTTTTCTTGTAGCATTTATTTTTATGATTTCAAGTAACAAGACTACTATATGAGTTGAAAAGCATTTATGTAAATAACTTCTTGAGAGGCTCTCTGAGTAGACATGACTCTAATGCAGGAACAAGTTAAAATAAGTTGTTTTGTTGTTGCCTTAGAATCACTCAGTGACTGGACTCCGTTGGTGAGAAGTATGTCAGTATTGTTGCCATGGACTGGAAGGCACCATGATTTATCTTATAATAGCATAAACCGAAATAAATTTGAGTTTAATTTTGAAAAATCTGAAACCCATAGGAAACATTCTGATATGAACTGATGATAAGAGAATTAACAATTATCTGAAAAATATTTTTACTTTTAAATATTCCTCTTTTAATAGCTTAACCACTTGATGTTCTGTAGTTTATTGTTCTGGAAAATCTTACTTAGTGTTTTTTGGTTAATGAGCCATGCATAAAAAAGTCATTAAAAGAAAAAATTATAGAGAATAATCTCTGAAGTATTTTCTTTTTGTTTGAGACAGTGTCTTGTCCTGTCGCTTAGGTAGGAGTGCAGTGGTAGAGATCTTAGCTCACTGTAGCCTCCATGTCTTAGGTTGACACAGTCTTACCACCTCAGCCTTCTGAGTAGCTGGGACTACAGGCATGCACCACCATGCCTGGCTAATTTTTAATTTATTGTTTTTGTAGAGATGGTATCTTACTATGTTCCCCAGGCTGGTCTTGGTCATCCTCCTGCTTAGACCTCCCAAAGTGCTAGAATTATAGGCATGAACCACCATGCCCACCCGAAGTATTTTCCAAGTTCTAAAGCTGTGAATAAATAGAATTTATTAGTTCACTTAATTGTAGCAATAGTCATACTTTTACTACTCTGTACAACAGTCTACCT